GGCTTTGTTTTTAATATTTCCTTAGCCTTTTAACTTTCTATGTGGCCCTGGCAAACTGCTTCATCCTCTTGTCATCGTTTCTCCCATAAAATGAAAATGGTGGAGATGAGTTTTATCTCATGTGGACCTAAGAGGTTCAGTTTTGAAAGTGTTAATTGCTTGAATAGTGTAGAAAACTTAAGTTCTGGGTGAAAATTCATTTCTTTGCAGAGCTTTTGAACCAAAGAGATTGCTTGAGTGTGCTATAAAAGCTTTAGAATTAAGTACGTTTAGTAACAGCTTGAAGGCTTCTTTGGCAGTATGTGCATGAATGTGGGCAAGATGCTGGCAAATTTTAGGAGACAGAGAAATACACTTGAAGATACTAAACTGGAAATACTGGTCATAAGAATTTAAACACTACATTAATCATAATCTCAGCATGTAACTAGTAGTTGAGCAGTGACTGAAATTCGCCAGAGGTCTTTGAGGATATGGTGTTGGCATTTATGCATGATTATAGTGTGACTTGTAGCTGTAATGAAGCAGTGATTTTACATTTCCAGTGGGTTAAGGGATCAGTTTCATGTTGCAGAGGTAATTCTGGAAGACGTTGAAGTGCATTTTGTGTTGCTTTCCTTGCAGTACTTGCAGAGCTCTTTGGTGTCCTGCTTACATGAGCATTCATAGAAGAAATCAGAAACGATGAAGGTTATTTAAATAACTGTTATAGACAATCAGAAGCCAGCGTTTGATCTGGAAATAGTGTTGTGGTGGCAAGAGGAGAGAAGAAATTCACATTAGCTGAAGGAAAGACAAGGCTGAAAATTGGCTGGTACTTTGGCTAAGTCCAAACAAAAGGGTGTGCAGAAGTGAATTCCTGCTTTCTTAGTTGTGCTGAATAAAGTTGATACAAAATTTTCAGTGAGTCGTGTAACTGAGGAGTGGATTGGGTCATTAACAGTGTGTGGTGTTCGGATGCAGTCTGGGCAGTGTGGTGGCCGTGGACCTAAGGTAGGCTGAGGTGTGCTCTGCACCATGCGCTTTGTGAGGCAGCAGGCAGCTGACTACCCCTCTGATTCAGGTATCGTATGAATATCATGTTCTTACAGCTGCACATTTAAACTGCACATAACAGACCTCTCTAGGAAGGAATCAGGTGTGTGTATTCCATGCCCATTTTGTGGCAGTGACCATGGACTTCCCAGAATAGTCAATTTCAGGCTAGGTCCCAGCATGCAGGGCACCTACTCTTGTACTTTGTGAGTATGCATCTGTTCTATGGAACAGAGAAAGCTCAAGCTTTCTTGCCTGGTACGCTCTAGGCTACAAGTTTGTATCCGTGATACGTGGATGTTTCACAAATCTGGATGTCACTGTGGGTATGGACTGTGCCATAAGGACATGGCCTCAGTATTCCAACAAGGGAGATCTATTCTCAAATGAAAGACTATGTTTAGGAAGTTGCATGGTCCAAACCTTGTATTATGTCCCAATAACATTACTGTTAATGGATTCACATGTGTTAGGCCAAAGGTATGTACCACTCATGGGATAAAAGGGAAATAATGGGGAAAAGAGGCAATTCTAGAGCATTTTTTGTGGCTAGAATAGAGACCAAATAGCAGTATTTCAGGGGAACCTGTAGTAAGTGTAGTTATCACAGTTGCTTTGAATCCTGTTTTTAAGAAAAAGCATATGCTCAGACAAGTGTTTCCATAATAACTGAGTTAAAATAAATGCTTCTTGTCTGGTAAAAAAGGCCGCTCATAGAAGGTAATAAACTGAGCCTTTGACTGTGCTCTAGTTGTTGCTGCTGTTGTTGACCAGCTGCCACCTCAGAGGAAAGCTGGTGGCAATGGTCTTGGAGGTTTGGAAGGCCTGGCTGTATTTTTGAGGTGCATTGGATGAACTTCATTTCTTTTTTGTTTTAAGGATACCAATTTGATCAGCACTTTAGAAGTGTTAGAAGTACATCAGTATAGTAAACTAATAGCAATAAAATCGGTTACATACTGCAAATACTGTGCAATGAAGGTTGGCAGAGATTGCGTCTATAAAAAGAAATGTATGCAAATGTTGTTTTCAATTGAATGCAGCTTTAAAACGTTCATTAGTGGAACATTTGGGGTAAATTACTTTCCTTCTGTGTGGTCAAATAGACCCATTTTCATTGTTTAAGTAAGGTGAATTTTTCCCTTCTCTCAGGAACAGCTGGTGCTATGTTCTTCACGTAAGGAAATTCCCTGTAAAAACACTGTTTCAACACTTAACAGCTTGACACTTCAGTGTTGTCTGGAGGCTTTTGCTTAACTGTGTTTGAAAGAAGCACGTTTAAAGAAGTACCTAAGATCCTGCCACTCTGTTAACTTTTATTGACATTCAGCTCTTTGTTCATTTCAACCAGTAGACAGACCAATGATATTGGAGAGGTTAGCATGATGTGTACTGAAAGCAGAATGTAGATAACTGATACGCAGCAGAAAGTGGTTCAGTTCTTGCATGTAGTGACTACAGAACAGCAGCTACTCGTTTCAAATAGGAGGTTCCACACTACTGGGACTCAAGTTTTGTATGAAATGTGTTACTTTGTACCTTGAGCCACTTTGTAAATAAAACTTTAATGTGGTTTTCAAAACAAATCTTTTTTATAATGCATTGCTTTTCTGTAATAATCAGTGATAGCTTTCATCTGGGAAGGTGACTGAATATGAAATTAGGATGGTCTGTTGCATAAGTGACACTAATAAAATAGCAGAATGGTGTGGGAAAACAGATACTAAAAGATATGTACTTTATACCTCCCCTGGACTCAGAAATAAATATTCAAGCTACCATAATATATGTATTTAAACACCATTTTTTCCTTGAAAGGATGGTCAGTTACTTTACCGCAGTGGCTCAAGTTAAAAAACAGGGGCTGTTAAATTCACTATCGCCTGTCTTTTGGGTTGTGAAGGTTCCGTAGTAAGGAAGACTTTGCAGTGAAAAAGGACCACAGCCGTGATTGAAGCATTATAAAGTTGGAATAAGAAAGTATGCCAAAGACCACCTGCTTGCACTTGTTATCTCAGTTGTGAGGCTATGTGCTGTAGTTCAGAGAACTCTTCTAATTTTTGGCAGTTTTATGGGTCTTCCTGAATCCTGTCAACAAATCTTGAGGTGGCAACTGCTTGGAGAAAGGTTCAAGTACAGAACAACATATACCAAAAGACGTAGGAGAAGTTACAAAGATTTTATAGACATTAGTACTGTATGCATTAAAAAATGAGTAGTCATGAGGTGGAGAAGAAATGTAATGTCATGGAGGCAAATGCACAAAGGTGGGACAATCAAACCCAGAGTATTTTTGTGTTGTTCTGATATGGAGACAATTTAGTGGAACCAGCAGAGAAGGAAAAGATGAAAAAGCAGAACATGTAGAAGTTGTGTGTGCTCAATGATCATTTATATGGAAAGTCATTTAAGTGAAAGCTCAGGAAAGCTTGATGACAAAATGTTTCATTGCATAAATGCAAGGCCAGTGAAGGTTAGTGTGTGCGACTCATGCATAGCAATGGGTTTTGCTCACAGAGAGGAACTTTTCCTTGCTGTGTTCAGCAGTGTATGATTGGAAATGCAATCTCCACGTGCAAATTTTAGAAAAGGCCTATTATGATACTGCTGTTAGCTTAGGAGAGGGTATGAAGTTGCCACCATACATGATCTTCCTTTGCTCAGCTTTCATGAGAACCCATCTGGAGTACTGCATCCAGCTCTGGGGTGCCCAGCTGTTGAAGCAAGTCCAGAGGAGGCCACAAAAATGCTCCGAGAGCTGGAGCACCTCTGCTCTCCAGACAGGCTGAGAGAGCTGGGCTTGTTCAGCCTGGAGAGGAGAAGCCTCTGGGGAGACATCACAGCAGCCTTCCAGTACTTAAAGGGGGCTTGTAAGAAAGTTGGAGAGAGACTTCTAACAGGGCCTGTAGAAGGGGAAAGGGTTTTAAATTGAAATAGAGTAGATTTAAACTGGATATGAGAAAATCTTTCCATCTGAGGCTGGTGAGGCGCTGGCACAGGGTGCCCAGAGAAGCTGGGGCTGCCCCATCCCTGGCAGTGTTCCAGGCCAGGTTGGACACAGGGGCTTGGAGCAACCTGCTCTAGTGGAAGGTGTCCCTGCCCGTGGCAGGGGGTTGGACCTGGATGAGCTTTAAAGTCCCCTCCACCCCAAACCATTCTATGATTCTGTGTTTTATGAATGATACAGTGGTAGGCAAGTGTAAGAAGTAATCTTTTTGCTCTTTGCAGGATTTGTTTTGCCTAACTGTAGTAATTTAAAAATAAGTAGTTACAATTTAATCAACATTAAACTGGTGCAAGCTGTTAGTTTTGCCTGAAAGGCAGTTTTGTTCACTGCTGGCTGCTTGCTGTTGCTTGGCGCTGTTACTTGGCTGGATGGTGGAATAGCATTTTTTGACTGTGGTGGCAGCTTACGCTACTTAAAAAGGTTCATGGAATTTCAGGCTTCAAAGCATGCACCCTAATTGCTTCATCTTGGTTCTCTTGCCAGAGAATGGAGAGATCCTCTGCAGTACCTGTCTTACCTACCCATTTTCGGATGGGGTGGCTGTGGGGAGTGCCCGTGCTCACCACTGATAAGAGTAGACTGAATGTGTAGTTTAGCAGTAGCTCATGGTGGGTAAGATCTCATCCTTTGGTAGCAATGGATGACTTTTCTGGTTTGGTTTTCTTGTATTAGCTTGCAAAATGATCAAAAGCATTGACATTATGATGATAAAGTTGCTTTTCTTAGTGAAAAATTATTGTTTGGCCATAATAATAATGATAATGAGATGGTGTGCTGCTTGAAAGAGAGAGAATTCCTTGTGCAAACTTGGCCTGTGTGTGTCTATCTGCCTAAATCAGCTTTATAGTTAGGAACACATGCAAACCTCACGGCATGTGTTTGGGAGTCATGTTTTACTTCTAAACGATAAGCTTATGTCTAATGCTAATGTAGTGTTAATTCTGGTGTACAGACATGGAAGTAATGAAGCCTTTAATCGATGAACAAAACTCGGATGGCATCTCAGATGAAGAGCATGAAAATGCTATTCTGCCAGTTGAGAAGCATTACCAGCTTGATAATGAAGGAGGCATTACGTATGTATTACTCTAAAGTATCAGCTTGTTAAAAGTTGTTGCTTCCCATTTGTTTCTCATGAGTAGTTTACTGAAATCTTAAGGGGTTTTCTTGCACCTGCAATACAATTTTGTAGTAATACGTTGGGACTTTGCATAGTTCTGCCAAAAAGCAGCCCCTTTTGAGTAGGTTCTCTGTTTTTCAGAAGCTAGCAATGTACTGGCCATAAAATATTCTAAGGTGCTGACTTGTAAAATGGTTGGGTCACTCAAAATCTAAGCACTGTTTAAAGAAAGTTTTGATTGATTGTATGTTATTGTAAAGAAACTTAAGAAATAATCACTTTATTAAAGCTTAGTTAGAAGAACCTGTGAATATTTTATTTTCTTTCAATAAAACTTTGGCTGTCAGACTTGTGATTTGCAGCTGGTCATTGTTTTGAATGTTACTGATTCTAAAATAACATTGGTGAAACTTGGTAATTTTTACTCTGAGGCAACAGGACAGTAAAATTGCACAGAAAATAACGATCTCACAAGCTGGAGGAAAGAACTGAAGATCAGACTTGTATGTTCTATTTGAGGGAGCTCACATGTAAAGAGGAATAAGAACATTATTTGAATATGCTGGACATCATTTAAAGTAGCTGGACCACCCTGAAGTAGTTGAAGCTCAGAATTTAGCCATTTATTAATAAGTGACAGAGGGTGTGGTTTTGTTTTTTCCCTTTTCCCCCTCCTTCCCCCAGTCTCAGTGTACTCCTGACATGACTTTCTATTTTTATCCTCAGGTTTACACAGACACTGACACACCTCCTCAAGGGAAACATTGGAACTGGGCTTCTTGGTCTTCCACTTGCTATCAAAAATGCTGGCATTGTGGTAAGAGTTCAGTTATTAGAATCATTAGGAAGATCTACTGATGTGTCTAAGCCTGAAAAACTAAAATCTCCATACTTTTTGTTTATTACTACCAACTTCAAGAGAGTTGTGTTCTCTTTTTCCTCTTTGGACTGGTGAATTTAGTACTGAAGATTGAGGATTTTTTTAAGTTACTACTTCACCCTGAAGACTGTGTTATATTTTAGCTTAGTTGAAGTGTTTTTCTAGTGAAAACAAAAACTTTGTTAGAAAAACAGAAAGACTTTGATTCACCCACACTCACAGGAATTGTTATTCTGGGATTGTCTTATCTTTGTACAGACTTCTCTACATCTGATCTCTTTGTACAGATCGTATGTCCTAGGATGCAGCATCAGCTTGTTAAATCAGTCTTGTGTTTCTGCACAGCTTGTTTATTCTGCGTAACAAAGTACCAGCCTTATTTCCTAAGCTAGGTTAAATTTAATCAAGTGACATTTTCACCTTATGACTAAACAGTCCTGCAATTCTTTCTTACTGGATGTTCAGTTTAAGAATGAAAGTTACGTGTGAAAAGCAAGTACCTTCTGTGAAAACTTGTGGTCAAACTTTTACTCTGAAACAAATTATTTAATTTTCAAATTACCTATAACTTGTAATAGTAGAAATTATCAGGGTTTTGGCAGTTTTTTACACTGCACATCAAGTCTACTAATGCAAGGGGAAGTGTCATTGCCACTTCAAAGTAGTTCAAACCACTGTATATGCAGTTTTCTCTCTTAACAGATTTTTTTGGCTCATGTCTTAATGAAGCTTTTAGAGGAGTGAAGTTATTCACACTCATTTGGTATTTGTGGCTTGACCGACCCTAAGTAGTTCAAGTAGTAAACTAGAAGTAAGGAATGCGAACCCCCATCTGAGAGGGTGGAAAAAAATCCAGTTACATAAAATTTTGAATCCTTAATTTATTTGCTACATTGTAAATGTTTTTGCATGTAAAGATTTTTCTTCCAGCTTATTTTAATGAAAAATTCTGTTTATTTCCTGTCTTCTCTTTTTTTCCCCCATACCAGATTGGACCAGTCAGCCTTGTGTTCATAGGAGTTATATCTGTTCATTGTATGCACATCTTGGTACGCTGCAGCCACTGTCTATGTCAGAGGTAAATGTGGAACTACTTATTCTGTTGCTGAGTTTTAGTATTGTTTTTTTTTCTTTCTTCTTTTCTATTTCTGATTTTTGGCCTACAGAATGTCCTGATGCTGTAGCGGTTTCTTCTCTTCAGTTCAGAAACTTGAACTTGCAAGAAGCAAGACTCCAATTTAGATTGTGCAATTATAAATCATAGCTGTACTTTAATATATTAAAAAAAATGTTTGTTCTCTGCTCATACACAAAATGAAGCTGGTTTAACTTGTGTTGCCCAGTGTCTTGTTCCCTATCTTTGCTGGCACATAGTCAGGTCTTTCTCATTGCAGTTTTAATTGCTTGGCTTCAGTCCTTTAGTCCTTCTTTATCCACACAGCTTTCTTCATAGCTTTGAAAAGCGTCCAGTTTATAAATAGCCAGTTTATAAGTACTTCATAGGAATAAAAGATAAACTGAGAACTGTTGTTAATGTCTTTCATGATTATTTGTGAGCTCTGTCTGGATTGTGATAACTTGATTCTTTGAAATTCTAGTGCTGAAGGAATGTGTTAAAATGATGCAGATAAACACTAGATATGCCTCCAAGTGCGATGTACAATACTGGGGGGGAAGCAGTTCTTAAAAGTGTTTAATAAGTCACTAGTAATCAAAATACTCTGTCATTCAAATTTTATCTGTTGACTGTTAAACAGGAAGGTCTTGTTTTTAAAAAGTGCAACAAAGGGTTTGAACTGAACAGAATCACAAAACTGTGCTTGTCCCTGTCGTGGAAAAACATATCTTATCAGTTTAACATGATACTGTACTGTGAAGGGATCCTGTCATTCCTGAATTCCTTAATTTTTCCTCTCTAGTTTTAAATGGCCTTTGAAGATGTACATAAAACTCAGATCACTGAAACAACTGCAATTGACTGCTTGTCCAGGAAAATCTGTTGAATCCTTTTGAAGTTCTTTGTGACTTTTATAGTTGAGATTGATTTCTTAAGCTGATACAAGAACCTGATTTTGGATTAATCTATCAAGAAACTTGTTTTGTAACAAACTGATTTAGTACTGTTAAGGGGAAGCAACACTGTGGTTCATATGCTTGTGGAGTGCTGAGTAGCCCTTCCTGGGGGAAAGAAGCCCAAGCCACAGAATGGTGCCACAGGTGGTTACTTACAATCCTGGGAGGCCACCAGTGTTTTCAGGGTAGGGATTTAAGCCCTCATAGTTTCTAGTAACTCATTTTTTTTCTTCAATCTTTGATTTCAGGATGAAAAAGTCCTCACTGGGGTATAGCGATACAGTTAGTTATGCCATGGAAGTGGGGCCCCTGACTGCTCTCCAGAAACGAGCTTCTTGGGGACGGTAAGTTTGCATTAGAATTTAGTTTAATAGTTTCATTATTAGACAGTTGATGGCTACACTTGGAAAGTTTAGGAGATTTCTTTTTTACTAAGATGTTACTTGCTTTAAGAATGTGTTCTCTGTGCTTGAAATACTTCTATGCAGTCCTGCAACCAGCTGGTAGTGGAGACATGGGAGAATTGTGGAGTGTCTCTCTTTGTTAGGCATTTCAGTTTTCAGGTCTACGAGAGCTGTGAAGAAAAGAATTCAGTAATATAGGAAGAGATGTGGTATAACCAGAAGTGCATTCTGTACTGTGTAATGTAGTGAAGTAATTTAAGTTATCATTTCTCTTTTATCATAAACACATTTCTCTGCATCAGAGTTCACTCTGCTTAAAGCAAGTTGACGCTGCAAATGTTAATTGCTTCAATATATTTGTTCTGAAAGGAAGCAAAGCAGTTATTTGATTCATGTTTAAATATAATGTACAAATAATGGTGGAGTATGCACTAAATTTTGCAATGATGTCCTGCAGCTACTTTAAAGTGGCAATGACAAAAGTTTCTTTCCCTTGCATTAGTAGGCTTGAGGTGCAGTGTAAAAGGAACCTGCATTGCAGTGCTCGTGTGATTAATGTAGCGTTTGAATCTAGTATATTGACTAGTGTAAAAAGGAGCAGTAATTGCATATTAGGTGTAAATGGGCTTATTGTTTGGCTCCTAAGTATAATGTATGTTTGTTTTTTCTTCCTCAGGTATATTGTTGACTTTTTCCTAGTGATAACACAGCTGGGATTTTGTAGTGTTTATGTTGTGTTCCTGGCAGAAAATGTGAAACAAGTGAGTAATGTCACCCTATCTCTGATTTTATTTTTTTTCTTTGCTGTTTTTGGCCAGGCCTTCTGCTGACATTGTTTTTAATTTTTTCCCTGACCTCATGTCACTGAAATCTTTCTTTGGTTCTTGTTTAGACCTTTCCATTTTCTAGAATGGTATCATCTGGCACAGAATCCACTGGATGTAAACCAATCCTGACTTTTGTTCTTAAAAATGCCTGAGACTGAAATTTCTGCAGCCTCTTCAGCAGTCGGTTCCAATGGTTTCCTATCTGTTAGACAGCTGATTCTTTGTAAAAGCTTAAAATTTCTTACTGACATTGTAAGTCCTTTATTTTGTATTCTAGCTGTAAGTAATTTATTCTTTGTTTGTGGGGCAGTTAGTACATAGAGGATAGTATGGTTTTTTCCTCCCCTTGTAGATGAGTATTTATACTGTGTTTAAAAAGTATTCCAAGTTCTACAGATGAAGATGAGGTTAATTTGTGTATTTGGAAGCTGCATAATCTGTAATTTGTGTTTTGGGAAAGAAAAAAAATTAACCACAACGGTAAAACCTACAGTCTTACTGTCACAATCTATCTCAATACCTAAAAATCCTATTTTACATCTGATGTTCTTTTGCTTGCCTTCTGGAGTGGAGAATTTTATTGCATCCTTTGTAAATGTAAGTTTGAGCTTTTCCTGTCAAATAAGTGTCTGATGAACCAATTGTTATATATGCGTTTTGACCTTAAGCAAAAGATGAGACTGAACATGTAATGACTGTGGCTTTTGTAGATTTTGAGGGGAAAAAAATCCCAACCCATGAAAGCTTTTCAGGAATCCGTTGCTGCTTTCTTGAAGAAGAGTTGAAAGAGCTTACAGGAAGCAACTGCTGCAAGAGCAGTAGCTGCAGAGACCCATGGCGTGTGCCCTTTAAGTGAATTGAAGCCATCAGCAATTCAGAAGTTAGCCCCTTCCAAGTGTGTTTGATTTAGGTTGCCCTGTGCTCTCTGTTCTGGGATGGTGAAGTCTGTGGAGTCTTCCTGGCATCTCTGTTGCAGAAATCTGTCCCGTAGAGGGCACCAGAGAAAACAAGTTGGAGCTGCTTAACATAAAAGTATTTGTGGTAGTGGAAAGATGAGGTGAACAGAGGGAGTAGGGGGCTTGTGTGGAGAACTGAGATAAAGGAAAAACATAATAAAAATGTTACTAATATAGCTTCTTGACCAATAGCTCTGCATTTTGCTCTGTACTCATCCGATCATGTTGGTGTGTGCAAATTGTATGTTGGTGTGTGCAAATTAAGTCCACTGGAACCAGTAGGAATTTCCACTGAGATCTTTTCTTTGATAGTCTTAGTTAAAACTAGTGCCAACCCAAATTTGGTAATCTCTTCCTTCGCTTTATTTGCTGTTTCAGAGAACTCAAATGTGACAAAGCATTTTAAAATGATTCAGACACATGAATGGAATATTCATCAGTCCAGATTACTTTGAGGTGAATAATTAGTTAGACATAGTGGTGCATGTGAGTTTAAATACTTATTTCGTCATTTGAATTCTATGATATGTTCAATGTATCCTTCTCACTTACCGATATGCAGCACAGCTTCTGGTGCTAAATCTTTTCTCATTGCTGTCTCTGGGATTATAACAATGTTGGCTGCACTACACCAGTGTTTTCCAGACACTTTGTGCTACAGGACCCTATTTCCAGTTATATCAAATTTCAAATGAAGCTTTTCCTAAGGAATATTTTTCTTGCAGCACCAGCTCTTGGTAGGTTGCAACAAGAGGCTTATGGATGAAGGTGTCTACAATGGAGAGGAAGGGTGAAGCTGGATAACAGAGCTTGGCTGCAGCAAGACTGGAGCAGGAACACAGTGGGATAGGAGGGATAGCAAAAAGGATCTGTGCTCCAAAGAGCATGGTCCTCTTTCATGCCATAGTTTGCTTTTGTTGCTTGAGCAACAGAAGACTTCAAGTCGACTCTTGGCATTTCTCAACTTGCTTGTGAATATTTGCTGAGTTCTCTGGAAAAGTGCCCTTTTTTTTCATTGATTGCTGATAGCTGAAAAATGAAAGCATGTTGTTGCTGTGTGGCAGCACTTTATTATTAGGTATTTAGCACTTCAAAGATAACCCATCAGTGGGATGCTAAAGAATGGAATTTTGTTTTTTTCCTAGTTTTTGTAAAAAAGAAAAAACCTCTCCAAACTCAGGAAGTAAAACTACAAGTGTTATAAACTTGAGCACTGAGTAATAATGAAATACCACAACTGAATGAGCTGTGAAACATTTATCTGGCCTGTTCCTACCAAATTACAGGATTATGGTACAGTCTTTATCTCTCTGATAACATACTGGTTTTGTGCCAGGTCTGGCCTTGTTTATTGTACTGGGTGTTGCTCTGAGCTGAATAAGTAAAGGAATTAGGAGAAGCTAATGAGTTCAATGATTACTGTTTTGACCCACAAGATATTGTAAAGTCCATGGACTGTATGACAGAAAGAGAAGGTTTAGGGGGTACAGGCAAGGAAACAGTGATTTTGGTTGGAGAGACTAAGGAAAGGGAATTATTTTTGGCTTCTGAGGTAGCTTTTACAAGTTCATCAGTTGAACTGAATTTTCTGCAGTCAGTAGTTGTGCATTAGACATTTTTTGAGTGGCTGACATAAGGAATCTGATAACCAGATTTGCATGAGTGTTTGATCTTCCTGGGTACAGCTGAAGTCGATGAATGCTGTGCTTGGGCTATGTGAATGAGACATTTGGTGAAGCACTCATATAAAGCAAGCTGTTTCAGACATCACACCATCATGTAAGTTAATGCCTTTGCAGTCACTATGCCTAGTGACTTCAGTGGCTGTGTGCTGCTTTTCTAAAACCATAATGATATTTCCTCATGTGGTTTAGGGAGATGTTTGTGCAACTCACAGATACATCCAAGATAAGCACAGAACAAAATGCAGATAATGTCTGTTCAGGCTGGAAGTTGAAGAGTGTTCACTGGGCTCTGTGACATACACAAAATAATATGTGTGTATGTCTTTTTCAAGAATAGATCCATTGGCTGGGTAAGTAAAAGGATTTGAGTAAGTTGGCTGATATTCCAATGATATTTCAGGTTATGTTGCTTTGTTTAGGAAAAAGACACTTAGATATTATGTCTGCTGTTCTTGGCCCAGCGTGACTGCCATATGCAGTGGTGCACTAGTAGAGAGCAGCAGAAGATTGAAAGTGATTGCTGTCCAGAACAGGAATCTGAGATAATATTAATTCTAATGTTTTGGAGACGAGATTGGACAGACAGTGAGTCACAGTCCATTGTAACACAATCAGCAGTAAACAAGCACTGAGCTAAACAGCATATGAGAGAGAATAAAAAAAAAATCCTCCTACTGCTTCGTATTTTGTTACTTGTAAGAACAATTTTAAGTGATAGCAGATTAATTTTTAGAAAACATCTAGTAAAACACTTTCAAAGCAATGGTAATGTTGGCCTGCACCTGAACAAAGCAGTATAATGTTTACTGTCAAGTCTCCCACAGCTCCACTCTAGGAGGGAGAATAATGATCCTTACTTTCTATAACTTTACCATTTTACTTTCTGACTCAGCTTTCTTCCACCTGTCACTCACTCTTGTCTGTTTAGCTCTTCTACAATGTTAACCTTTCATAGATTCATAGAATGGTTTGGGTTGGAAGGGACCTTAAAGCTCACCCAGTCCCAGCCAGCAGGGACCCCTTCCACTAGACCAGGTTGCTTCAAGCCCCGTCCAACCTGGCCTTGAACACTGCAGGGATGGGGCAGGTTCAGGATTTCATCTTTTTTCCTTTTCTTTGTTTCCTTATACTTCAAGCAGCAGGATCTGATGGAGGCTTCTCTAAGTCATGATATTTTTAAGAATCCATTTGATATTTTAAAAATGTATTTCAGAACCTGAACTGTATCCTGCCTGCTGTTATTCCTTTTCTTCTGCTATTACTCCTTTTCTTTAAAGGAATAATGTAATTTGCTTTCTAATTGCTCATCAGGCTACAGTTACTTGTATAAATTGAATGCATGCTAGGTTAAATATTTATTGTAGGTGAGGTTTTCAATGGGACTTACGTGCTCAGGTCACATTGTGTTTCTTAGAAAACCCCCTTACATGTCCATGTGTGCAGAGAGACTTTGTCTACCTGTCAGTGCCTGCAAGCAAGTAAACGCATGAGACTGTTGTTAAGGTGAAAGGCTGTTAAAGTGTATTTCTGTATATATATTTTTTTTTTTCTGTATTTCTATTTTAAGTATGGTGGGAAAGCAGGATACTTCTACAGAGAGCTTTACTTCACATGGCGTTAGGGAAGAATTTGGTTAAGTGTTTGACATATTGCTTGGGAAAGTAGAGTTATTGTAGCTGCATGAATTCACTGAAATCCAGGTCTAAATGTATTTAGCTCTTTGTAGCTTTCTTACTGAAAACTAGCAGATGGTAGATGTCTAGTAAGTGACATTTAAGGTTCTTACAAGGTGGAAAGAGTTCGTGTTTCCATGATGACTGGTGTCCTCTGTTTTCAGTTAAAGTGAGATTTCTGGAAAACATGTGGTTGCAGAATTGCATCTTTTATCTTTCCCCTTTTCATAATGACAAAAAATCTATCCAATGGTTTTTGTTACAGATGAAAGAATTTTAAGTTAATTCTGTCTTCCTAAGTTTGTGGATTGTTTGAAACAATGGAAAGAAAGTGAATTGTGTATTTTATTTATTTATTTTCCTCCTAGACTTGTAAAACCTGAGTTTTGGCAAACATGCCAACTTGAGTGACTTGGATTACATACTCTTGGTTTTACAGTATCACCTAAGGTGCTCTGCTTCATGGAAGTCTCAAAGTGCCAATGATCCCTTGATTGCCAGCTGTATCTCCAGCTTGTCCTCCTTTCTCCACTTTGTCTGCTGTTCTTGGCCCAGCGTGACTGCTATATGCAGTGATGCACTAGCAGAGTGACCATATACTCAGTGCTGGCACTGTTTGGTAACGTAGAATTATAGAATACCAGGTTGGAAGGGACCTCGAGGGTCATCTGGTCCAACCTTTCTTGGCAAAGCATGGTCTAGACTAGATGCCTCAGCACCCTGTCTAGCCAGATCTTGAAAGTGTTCAACATTGGGGAATCCTACCACTTCCCTGGGGAGAGAATTCCAATGGATGATTGTTCTCTACAGGTCCATGAAGGATTCTTGGAAAACAAGACAGCTCCCATAAATGTCAGTGCCACCAGCAGTCCTTCTGAGAAAAGGAGTACTGATTTACGAATATACATGCTGTGTTTCCTGCCATTCTTGATCCTCCTGGTCTTTATTCGTGACCTGAAGAGCCTGTCCATGCTTTCATTGCTTGCCAATCTGTCCATGGCTGTCAGCCTGGTGATCATTTACCAGTATATTGTTAGAGTGAGTATAAAAACGTTTATTGCCTTTTGTTTTCAGTGTGGTAAATTATATTTGTTGCATGTGGCAGTTTGTCTCCAGTGGATATGATATTGACTGACAATTTCTGAAAGGTGGAATTACCTTGTACTTAATTTGAGGAGGCGCCTTACTACTTGAGACATGCTTTAAACAGAGTTCTACAGTACTTTTGAAAGACAGGACAATATTGCTGCACTTCTGAAAAATATGTGTTGTAACAAATTGGAGTCCTTAGGTGGAAGAATATGTGAATTTTTATAGGCTGCACACAGAACTTGAAAGGTTTTAATCTGTGGTCAATCTTTTAGTTGCAACAGAAGAACAATTTCAACAGCAATGTTTATATCTAGTATTTCTTTAGTACAGTCAGGAAAAAATTAAGATTTACCCTTTAAGAATGTGTATTGCAGACGTCCATCTCCCGAGAAGGTGAATAGCTGCTGCATTTTCTGGGTTGCTGCTGTTTTTCAGATTTGGAGACATTTCATAATGGAACAAATTAAACCAATGGTTGAAAAAAAAAATCACATGTAAAAACCTCTACATTTTTATTTCTTAGGATATTTGAAAAGTGATAAGATGCTGTTGCATGCACAGTGTAGATAAGTGCTGAGTGATGCTATTGCTTGAGAAAGCCATCACGTGAGTGTTATGAGATGATTGGGAAGCAGAGGATTAATTACTCTGGAATTAATTGTTCTGCAGAAACTCAGCTTGTATCAAAAAGATTTTCTTTTGCTGTCTTTTATAGTTATGGAACAATATCTGTGCAGTATGAAAGCAGATTGGAAAATTCAATACACTGCAAAGTTTGCCAAAGATTAAGCTTGATGTGTGAGCTTTCCCTTTTGTTTTAATTGATGCTCACTCATATACATCAATGTGATACTTTAAATGGGAAAATTTCCAGTGTCAGTAGTGTGAACCTAGAATAAATATTTCTGCAAGTATCTGTGTGGTTGGGAAGGTGGCTGTAAATGTGTATAAAGAACTAAGTTTGGGATTGTAAATGGCCACTGCTGTCAACATGTGCTGAGTTTTCTTTCCTGTAGGGTAATGCTTCAGTCAAAATTGTAGGAACAGCTGATGTGCTTTACAGAGCACTGTTTTGTTTTGTTCAGGATACAATAGATCCACGAAAGCTGCCTCCTGTGGTTGGCTGGAAGAAATACCCACTGTTTTTTGGGACTGCAATATTTGCTTTTGAAGGAATCGGTGTGGTAAGTGCTTTTTACTGACTCTTCAGAATACCTCAATCTGTGTTAGATGGTGGGATAGAGGCAGTTTTGCTCCTGTTGTTATTTTGTTGTTTTTGTTGAAGCACTCGTCTCCATGTTGATATGAAAAGGGTTAATTTATCAAATAAGGCAAAAGTTGAGGATGTAACATCCCCATCAAAGGGGAGTTTGATGAATACTGATTGCTACTTGGATACTTGGAACCTTCCCAAATTACAAGAATGCCTTTAATTCCAAATAGATTGAGACAATAGTGTAATAGTAACTAGTATCATAATATGCTAGGTAATAATATAATAGCCAGCTAATAATATGATGATGCTATAATTACAGTGATTCAGCAGCTCAGTTTTAGGTGATGAGTGTGTAAAAACAGAAACTTATTTAGCATCCTTCTTTTCCTTTGGGATCACTGAAGACAAAGTGATTTATTAGAAATGCATTATTCTTTCTGCTTCAAACTTGTCTGTAGATATGACTTGACGGAGATGGAGATGATGAGAAAAAGAATAGAAATTTTTTCCAATTCATGTCCTTCTGACAATGAACCTCAGTTTCTCATTGTTTCCTGAAAGATGTGGATTAAATAGATTCATCACTCTGAAAACTTGTTTTTTAAGAGTGGATCATTTTCAGTCTTTTATTCCCTTACTGCTGTTTCTAAGGGCTTTCCGCTTACATCTCACACTAGCAAAATTTGAAAGTTAGTTGGCACTTCTGTTCCACATGGCATGTTTTAAAAAATAGCTGAAGAGGCTTCTGGGAATGGTAGGTCATTTTGTCTTTGAACTGTTGGGAAATTACTGCATAACTTTATTTGTTGCTAATACAATTACACACTTCAAGTGTTACTGTGTGATTAAAACTAAAAACCAAATAAATAGCCGTCTTTCCCCCCTCTTTCTCTCTTCTCCCGTGCCCCCCCCCCCCAAAAATAATAACCCAAACCAACCCCAAAATTGCATGCAGTTAGTCTGAAATGATGCTGTCATTGACATAACACAGAAGAGTTTTCAAACCTCTTTTCTTTTCTGGAATTATCAGCTCAGACTTAAAAACCAGAATATTTTACCTTGGTGCTGTAATATCACTACCGGAAGAGCTGAATAGGAAAACCTTTTAACTCCTATTATGTTAAAACTGCAAACCAACCCCAAAATTGCATGCAGTTAGTCTGAAATGATGCTGTCATTGACATAACACAGAAGAGTTTTCAAACCTCTTTTCTTTTCTGGAATTATCAGCTCAGACTTAAAAACCAGAATATTTTACCTTGGTGCTGTAATATCACTACCGGAAGAGCTGAATAGGAAAACCTTTTAACTCCTATTATGTTAAAACTGTGTTTTCACACACGGGATATGTGGATCTAGTGGCTTTGAGTCTCTGTTTCTCAAACTGTTCTTGACTGTTTTTCAGCCTGTAAACTGACTGATGCAGTGGTTTAGGTACCATATATCTGAGTGTATCTGGACATCTCTCCTTTTGTCATCTGGAAGTTCCATCACAGAAAATCATTCATTTTTCTGGGATTGATTGATGCTTACAGGACTTGTGCAAAAATCCCATGCTCTGTGAATCAGGTAGATTGGACTATACTAAGCTTGTTGCTCTTAAATTGTATAGTCCATCTAGGACAGACCACACTTACTATATGTGGGTAAATGCAAGTCATGTACCGTAGGTCTGATATGTATTCCAGTTGTATTAGATGTGCTTATGTATTGCATAGCACACAGGTGGGGATTTGTAGCCAGGAAATCCCAAATGAGGGTCTTGTGAGCCTCAGGAAAGTGTGGAAGGCTTACCACTTGGTAGTGGTAGTTTATTAAATTATAGGTGGGGAGTTGATTTATAGTAATTCCCCCACATTGGGGGAAGTCTAATCCTACTGCAGCAGTAGTAACATTGACTTCCAATGTAAACCTTTGAAAGAAGTGCTTAATATTTCTTCCTTATATGCAGAATGATATTCATATCTCTCTGCATGTTCAAAATATCCCTGAGAAGCAGAATGTTTGCTGTGCATTCTTATGCTGTAGTTGTGTGCACCAGAGAGATTTGAAACACACACAAAAAAAGATGTTATGGATCTGAATAATCAGAACAGAACAAAGTTGTTGAAGCATGAGGTAAAGAAGATGAGGGAAGCAAAAACAGACAGACACTGCCGCCACTTTGTCGTTGATATTTCATACAGTTCTCTGTGATTGATTTAATAACTAGTTATTACAGCTCAGTAAGTTACCATCATAGACTGAGCTGTGATCTGTCTGTGTGCATGTTTGTGACCTCTTGCAAATGTGAAGTGAAACAAGATTAGTTTAAAATTCTTTCACTGAGATGTAAGCTAATGTGTTTTAACCCACATTACAATGGATTAAAAACAGTCGCATAGTCAGTTGCTGTTGTATATCTGATGTGTGATAACTTGTTACCCTGTGTCTTATTTATTGTCATTCCTATATCCATGTGGTTGAATTGTATGGTAAGTAAAAATCTCTCACCATTTAATTAGATTGGCTCCTTAGTCTGCTCTCTCTGCCTGCAGGCACTCAACATGGATTTACCTAATCTTGATATTTCTGTTAGAGGCTTGATTCCAGATTTTATTCTGGAATGTCTTGCAAATAGCACTATTAATGTAAAGCTATCTGAACATCACATTATAAACAGAAGCTTTGCGGTCTTAATTTGATCAGAAAAGTTGATTATGGTTGATGCATTTTATGCAGTAAGTTGGCCTTGAACAGTTATGAGGCCTTATTTTTCCTTTTCCTTGATTCCAAACATACATTATGCTAATTCTCATCGGAGAGCTGCCAGATTATTGAATGTTATGAGCGGGGACAGCAAAGGAAATTCTGAGGTTTTTGGGCTGGTTAAATCATCTTAAGCAGAATCTGACAAGAGAGGAAAAATGCCTTTGGTGTGGTTTTTCTTCCACCATTGTTCTGTGTAAAATGGTCTTTCCTGCTAGGAATATTTAATGGTAAATTCAAGTAGAGCAATTAACGATCTTCAAGGAATAGTATAAAACAGTACACCTTAGCCATAGCAGTTGGGAGGACTTATTTTCAAAGACGTGTAGTTGCTTTTGTTTTCATTAACAGGGGAGTGGCTAATGTAGACAGAAAATAATTGGCAGTTCATAATCCCATGCTCAGTATGGAAATGTGTTTGTCTGATTTCTTTGAACCAAATAATAGACTGCAGGGGAAATACTCTAGCACTGATTCTTTTTCATCCCATTGTTCCTAAAAGCTTTTCATATATTGATTCTTTTTTGGTTCTTTTAGTTTAGCACTTATCATTACTTAAAGTATGACTGTAGTTCTTCAGTAACTAATAAAATTAGTGAGACTAATTAAATGAAGGAGTTGAAAGTCCTGTTCACTATGGGGAAAGTGACTCAGGAAGGTGCAGTGATTCAGCAAGTTCCTAGTAGGATTTTCTTCTTGATCTCGAGAGAGTGTATTTCTCCTTTAGATGGTGAATATACAAACACAGGTTTTGGTTAAAATCTGTCATTAGTTTAGAACTGATTAACTGTCCTTGTGTAATAAGAAAATCTGCAGTATGGGAGTAATTTGGAGTATCGTTGCTTTGGCATAACTATGATGATGAATTGATGATATTAATATGATGAATTAAGCTGTTCATACCTGCCTGCGAGATCAATCTAAACTTCCATTTGATGGCAGATTTGGACAATTTTGTTATTTTGCTAAAGTCCAGACAAGTTGTTCGTTTGTTGCTGTAACTGCTACAGCAGAAACAAGGTTAGTGCATGCTAAATGTTAATGCTAACGTTAATGCATGCTAAACTGTGTGCTTGTTACAGGATTAAAAAATGCTGCTTGTGCTATTCATTTCTTTGCTCCCTATTTGAGTTGTCTATAAAAATGGGGTCACTGCTCACTGGTATAAGATACCTGCTGCAAATCGTGGATGCCTTGGCAGCCAGGTGGTGGTCATCGCTGTGTGCTAACAGGAGGAGTTGGCAGCAGGGGTACCCCATGATCCCTTAATATTGAGCGAGCAAACCTGAGAGCTCAGTACTGTCAATCTGGTGGTTATCAATCAGTGTTGAGAGCTGGTTTGGGATTTCAACACTTGTAAGTTAAGATTTTAAGATCATCAGGGTGACCTTGTGAAAATCACAATAACTAGTGGCATCAATACAGTTTGCAACAGCAGCAACAGAAATGCAGGTAATAGCTTTGCATAATGTTATGCTTGTATAATAAGTTACACGTAATGAATGTTTTGTGATGAAAGCCTGGTTGGCTTTCTCATTTGAGGTATAAAAAACAAATCCAAATGTGGAAGTGATATTTTAATATAAGCATCAGAAGGATGGAGGATGAAATAGGTTCACAACATTTTAAAGAAGAAGGATAATATAATTTTGCTTCTCTATTACACATAAATATGGTAAGTGAAGTACAGTTTGTACAATGGAGTTTGTCTGTGGGGTTTTCCCTGTTGAGTGCTACTTTTTAACATTAATTTGAGGTTTGGGAAATAAGGCTTCTGATATTTTAGCCTGTGACTCGAAGATGTCTATTCAGACTGCTTTTGAACTTGGATATCACAGCTTTGCAGTAAAAGGTAGAGTGGTATTTCTATACTGAAAGACAGGCTCTGGAATCACATTAGGCAGCAGCTAACCAATTCCAGGAGATAGAGAAAAGAGAACACTAAGTGGATTATAATTTTAAAACGTCGTTATTTGGATTTTGAAAGTGATGCAGATGAGCTTGTGAGGCCTGTGCCTTTGAGATAAAAGGCTCTCATCAAAAATTCTTCTGCCCAGATTAGTATTATCCTTTAAATAAAAAATAATGAAACCCAGTGGCACTCTTCTGTTGCTTTATGACCAGACTGGATATGTCAGAAGCAGACATTTAACAGGTAAAATGACATCATCTAAATCTACTTGGGTTGTCTCTAGACCAGGGTGTATCAGTTTCATTGGTGTTCTTTTGAGATGATGCAAAGTCTTGTATCCTCAAAACGTGAAAGGTGGGAGTTCTCAGAGAATGTTTTTGCATTTGGACAAGCAAGTGTAGGTGACTGGGTTTAATGACTCTGGAGATGACCTGCTCTTAAATGTACATGGTAAATGTGAACCTTAAATGTCGTGTCAGTAAGAGGCAGGAAGGAAGAATCTGAGCAGTTTGGTTTTGGAGTGATTGGAATTGCTCAGCGTATTTCAGAAGGTAGTGTTCTGTAAGGAGAACTTGGCTTCTGGATTTATATCTTTTGTAGAAACCTTTTATTATAAAAATTGATCTGCAGTCACCATTTAGCTTGCATCTTTCCTTGAGTAACAGTAGCCACCCATTTATCTGCAGTCATGAGGGATCTGTTGAGGAAAATTAGATTGTTTATTGCACTTGTGCAAAATAGTGATGTTCTTTATATTCCTCAAGAGAGTGAGCTTTAAAAATGTATCTGAAAGTGATGGAATAAAAGCTTATTGCTCAAAGCAATGTGTGAGACTCTTTTAATGTACAATGAAAGAGTAGATGGACAAGGACAGGCAAGCAAAACATAGCAGTGTAATAATGATATATGTTATCATCATTATTTTACTTGGAGAAACCATACTTCTTCTGCAGACAGTTCCCCAGTATGCTGTAGGGCTGTAGATCCACCTTTCAGTGAACAGATGAATTCACTGGTACCTTCTGCAGACAAGAAGGAATGGGTCAGGCTGGGGCGGCGTTGATTTGCTGAGGATTCAATCTTCTGCCTTTGGGGGTTGGGTAGTAGAGTTTATGTTTATATACCTTGAATTCCTTCCTTTGATACCAGCTTCATCAGCTTTTTTGCTTCGAATGAACATTTTGTTGCAGTAGGACATGCAGATGGATTTTTTTAAATTTTGAGTAAATGTTGATAAATAAATACATTGATTTTAATTTTCCAAAATTCTTGTGTTGTCTGTACCTTATACTAAACAAACATCTGCAAGGCTCTCTCTTCTACATGAAATACTTATTTTAAAAGCATAAGAGATGCAGGATTGCTTCATTCTTGCCATTTTAGTGGTATTTCATGAAAAAGGGAAAGATGACCATCTATATGTAAGCATTAAGCATGTCTGCTTTTAAGTTATCAATACAAGATTAGTTTCTAGGGGCCATGACAATTAAATCAGTTTATCTGATTATGTGTGGGGGTTTTTTGATCCAGTCATATGAAATGTACAGTAGAGACTTCTGATTAGAATCAGACAGTCCCTGCAGTTTAGTTGTAGAAAGACTGAGTGTAGCAGGATATTCAAGGCAAGGAATGAGGAAACAGTGGTATTACTGGGGCATGTTTATACCTACTTCATGCAGCTTGGAATGAAAGGGAAGATAACTTTGCATAATGGATGATGGTAGATTAGTCAGTTTTGCTTCTTTGTCAGTAAATTATGGGTGTATTTGAGTTTATTTGGTGAATGAAAAAAAGATGGATTATGCCTGCTATGGAAATTAAGAAATCAGTTTCATAGTTTCTGAAGGAATGAAGTATTAGGTTTCAAGGAAGACAACAGTAGCAACATGTGCCAGTGTCTCAGAAACAATAGGAAGATCTCTCTGAAGCAGGCAACAGAGAAAAAAGATGGAGAATTTATTCAATTGAGGAGGGAGAAAAATTATGGAAGAAAAGAAATTATGGAAAGGATTGGTTTTGTGTAAAGTACCTGATTTCATAGGTGTTTAGGGCTATGACGGGACTAGTATGAACTGGGGGACAAAGAGCATGAAGGAAGCAAAAGCATGGAAATTGGCAGCGGGGAAAAGACCCATTTAAAAAAAAATAAAATCTTTGAAACTGAAACTTAACTCATGGTTCTGTCACCTCCAGCATTCTGCCCTTGGGAGAGAAGACTATTAGACTATTCCCTGAAGTTTTCCCTGACCATAGTATTTCCCATCACTAGGTTCTGCAGTGGTTGTATACGTGGTAATAGGTTATAGGTCTGAAGAGTGTGGGAGATACTGAACTAGATTCATGTTATTGCCCGTTATAGTAGAAATTGTCATTTGAACAAGTATAGAGCTGTATTGAAGCCTCAGTGTGAGATTCTGAATTGATGCAATATCCCTTTTGAGAGAAGATGTTGTAATGTATTGGACAGAGACAGAGAATTGGATGTGTGGGGTGTTTTTTTCTTCCAAAGCTATTCAATCATCTAGGTAGGGTGTTAACTTTTTAAGGAAACCATTTAAAAGAATTGAAGAATGAAATTCATTTCTGGCTTCAGAAAAAAGGACAAGAAAGCATGTTCAGCTTCAGTGTTCCAAAAAAGAAGCAATAAGACCAAAGCTAAAAAGCATTTGTGAAAAGAACCTCTCTCATTGGCATTCAGTTAAAATGTTAGGATTTCTGAAGTTGTTGCAACAGGGACTGGAGAGAAATTTAGAGTGAAAATCCATCCAGCAGCTGCCCAGCATCTCCTTATGAACACTTCAAGGGTCTTTCGGATCCTGATGGAAATTAACAGCTTAAGGAGCAGGGAGTTTGTCTAATGTATGTGTAATTGGTTGTTATTTGGCTTCATGTTAATCCTGTGAGGTATAGAACGTTTCAGTTTGTCTGAAATACATGATACTGGATAGCGCATAAAACCCAACTCAAGGTCTTTGCATAATTTCTTTGGAGATTAGTTCTGCCAAGGGAAGCATATCCTGCAGTGACAGCACCTGGCTCAAAAGCTTTCTGCTGCTCAGAGTCCCTGAACCTGGGAAGGCTCACTGCTGAGGCTGGGAAGGGATGCTATCACCTGGATTGAGTGATGCGAGAAAGGCTGCATGAGCATCCTCATCTGTTCTGGAGGCAGATCTAGCCCTGATACTAATTCAAGGATAAGCAGGGGGAAATTAGCATTTTAAAATCTGTTTCAAGAACTAAGTATGATAATGTGCCTTTGGCTACTGATAGTCTTATCCTCTATTTCTATTTGTGTATCTTTTCCTTAAACTCACTGTAAAAAAAAAAGGTTGTAATGTTAAAGTGAGGGTGTTGGTGCAGGAACACGTGTTTAGGTGTAGTATTTTTATTTGGAGCTACTCATTAGTGTGGATGAAGTGACATAGAATCATAGACTAGTTTGAGTTGGAAGGGACCTTCAGAGTTCATCTAGTCCAAAATGAGCAGGGACGTCTTCAACTAGATCAGGTTGCTCAGAACCACATGCAACGTTGTTGAGTTTAATGACTAAACTTGATTTAATGGATAGTTGAAAAGCAAGGGTTAGTATGCGTAAGAGAATTGTCCTAAAATGTTTTTTAATGGCTTTTTAATTTCTTAAATTAAGTCTTTGTTTTCATGGTGAAACATGGGTCTTCACACTGACTGGATTTAAATGCAAAAGATAAAAAATTGCAGTACTAGTAAAAATAAAAGATATTTAAATGCTTCCTCTGGATGCAAGCACATTGAACATAGTATGTGTCACTTGGCCTTTGTTTTCCTTTACAAACTAAGTTTCGGATAAATAATTAGGTGATAATGTCTGCCTGTAAAAAAGAAGTTTGTTAAAATGTAAAAAGATTAAGAACTAAAAAATAAAATACAATCAGCCATTAAGAATAGAATAGAATAGTAGTTGTAGGCTGCCCGTGAGAATCTGAGATGAGTGGTCTCTCCTGGAAGAGATCATAGAATCAAAGAATGGTTTGGATTGGAAGGGACCTTAAAGCTCATCCAAGTTCCAACCCCCTGCCATGGGCCGGGACACCTTGCACTGGACCAGGTTGCTCAAAGCCCCATTCAACCTGGCCTTGAAACACTTCCAGGGATGGGACATTCTCAACTTCTCTGGGCAGCCTGATAGGGAAGTATTAGTAGTACTTTCCCTCGATAAAGTATTCTTGTCTAGGAGCATCTACATACCGTCAGTTTGTGTTTTAATGAAGATGTAGAAGGACCTGTTATGCTGATGAAATTCAAGTTGGGAAGAGCATTTTTTTTCTTGGTTTTCCTGTGTTGCCTGTAAATTTTTTCTTGTTAGCTAAAAACTTGAGTTTTTAAGTGTTTTCAAGAACTTACTAAGTGTATTTTTCTATATGCCATATAATACATATAAAAGGCAGTCTCTCCAGCAAACTGCATCCTGAAATGGTTATAATGCTTGTGTCTTCATGTTGAAATGATGGCAAGCCCAGCAAGGTCACTTGGCTATAATTCAGGAGCAGAGTATCCAATGCTACATTTAGAAAAAGCAGTGCTTAGTGTGCCTGGCCCTGTCTCTGTCAGAAGAATGGAAAGTGTGTGGGTCTCTATTCTGGTAGTCATGGGCTCAAGCTTTGCTGCTGGGAGAGCTGAGGCTGACTGCTGGGCATGAGGTTATCTATCAGTCATGTGCATGGTAGATTTGTCTGTGATGGGAGACTGACAGTGTAGACATGCCTAATGAGAACAGGAGAATCACCCTTGGATTCTGAACTATTCTGTTACAAAATATTGATGTTACTCATATTGTCAGTGTATTTTCGTCTGGACACCATAAATTTCTGTTCTTAGTTTTTGTAGCCTGTAAATATTGCTTTATGTTTCCACACCATTGCTGTTTTCCAACCAAGACGGGTGCTTTCCAATAACTGAACTTTTCTATTGGCTGCATAAATAATTGTGATCTTCCAGGCTGTGAAACATTATTGTAATCTTACTTATTAATAAAATGTCACCTGCATTTTGGGAATCTGCTTAGAAAGGGGGAAGAAAAGTAGTTTTACTGTAAGTAATTGATGTAATTGATTCCCCCTCTATTTCCAGGTACTTCCATTAGAAAACAGAATGAAAGACACCACACGTTTCCCGCAGGCGTTGAACATTGGCATGGGAATAGTCATGACCTTGTATATCTCACTGGCCACTCTGGGGTATCTGCGCTTTGGGGATGAAATCAAAGGCAGCATAACTTTAAACCTGCCACAAGACATATGGTAAGTGCATACATGACTTAAAACCAGTAATCTAGAAGGCAAAACCTTGTAAAAGTTGTTGTATGCCTTAATGTTGTCATGCTTATAACTGATATGTGCTCCAACTCTTTTAAAAGTATACTGTATATACTATCTTTGTGCCTTCCACAGTTGAGCTATGATCAGCCATTTCTTGCATATTAAAAGGAATTGCATATAGAAACAGGTGAATGATCTTTATAGTAAAGTATTACATCTCTGGCAGGAGCTGATTTCAGGTGTAATGAAGGAGGGAATATGTGGTTTGCAACCAGCCATATTGCAGTTCTGAAACCCACTTGTTTTACCTTGGATACCCTGGTAATCTAGTGGCCTTCTTTAGTGGAATCACTGAGTTTAGCAGGTGAACTGCTGGAATAGAAGACATCAAAAGCTGAATAGATAAGTAGTTCACATGTAAGTCCATGAAGAGTGTATAATAATGGCTTCCTATCAGGAAAATTAAGCTTATGCTTTTCCCATGGAAGTGGTGAAATCACCGTCCCTGGTGTTCAGAAACCATGTAGATGAGGCCTTCAGTGACATGGGTTAGTGGTGGCCTTGACAGTCCTGGGGTAAAGGTTGGACTTGATAATCTTAAAGGTCTTTTCCAATCCGGTTGGTTCTATGCCAGTGTCTCAGGGAGATTATGGTTTTTATTAGCTTTTTATTTTTTTAATGCTATTAGAACTCCGCTTGCCACATGCTGAAGAAGCACTGAGGACTATTTCAACTGCTGCTTTATTAGTTCTGTATCTGTCTATGGATGGATATATACTGTAACTATTAATCTAAATACAACTCTTATTTTGTTTTTTAGTACTTTTATGTCTAGCCTAAAATTAGGTATATCAGCAGTGCACAAGTGTAAAAGCTGAAAAGTATTTTAATGTTTTCATTCTGATCAAGTCATGTCTTACAGGTTATATGATCACATCTTGTTTCATGTCTGTCGTGGTAGCACAGTGAAGTAGTGAAAACTTACTGTGACTCAAAACCTGCTTTGCTGCACTGAATGCTGACTGCTTTTTTTGCTCTTTGAAAAAGAGTAGAACACATACATAAGTCAATGTTCTTAATTTTCAAGTGTTACAATGCTCGTGGTTGATATGGTTGGTGAAAAGTTTGTTTTAAATGGTAGCTCTGGGTTTATTTGTGTCTTAAGTGCTTTTAAAAAAGGATTGAGAGGAATGTGGAATAAGGTAAGGTTGCTACTCACTGTTGCTTTTTATTGTGCTCATGCAAGCAACAGAATGAACTTTATTCTGCTGTAATAATCTGCAGTCCTGCTGTCTAACAGGGCTGTTCAGATATGAGTTTCCAAATATCTCTTGGCTACAGGCAGATATGATGATAAGATGATATTTATCCTCATGGCTTTACAGGCCTAATGCAAAGAAAGAGATTATGGAGATGGAAACTGGTGCTCTGTAGGTGGGGAATTGGCATTTTAAGTTTAATAATGTCAGAGCTACTCAGGGCACGTATGTAGGGATAACTGAGTCATCTGGATTTGTCTTACCCTGGATAGTTCCCCAGAGCACTCACCAAAATTAGAAGGAGAAGCACCTCAGTGGTACGCTGATGGGTTGTGATGTATGATGTTATTGCTGCGCAGTGCTGTGGGTCTCCCTAATACAGTACTGACGAGCTAATGTGTGCAACTAACTGTGCTAGCAAAACAGGTTTCCAGTGAACCATATGACAATTCTGTTATTTGGTCCTCACATAAAGAGCCAGGAAGTGGCTGGATTTAACTAGAGAAATGCTTGGAGTGGACAAGTTTTTAGAAGAAAGTGGTCATGCCAAAGAGCCTGCAATGTAGCTAAGCAGTGAGATTGGTTTATGTGTTTAATTCTGGCTGGACAATCCCTGTCTTAAAAATCAGTCTTTCCTGCTACAGAAAATTCTATGGCTTTGAGTTGTATTTGATGTTCTTGCATATAAATTGACCAGAATGCATGCGCAGGCCCTAGAGAAGTTAAGTCCTCAAGTTTAATTTAGTTAGAGGACTACTCGTATTCTTAAAAGCGTTCTGCTAGATTGGAGCTTGCTGAGAAGACATTTGTTGCAGTTCTAGTTTAAATTGTGTTTTGGGGTACAAATTGTCACTCAACACAATGTATTAATTAAAGTATGTTGAAAAGGGACTTGATGAAAAGACTAGTTTTCAGCTTGGTTTTACTGTTCTTTAATAACTTTCTGGAATCTAAAAACTGTTTTATTGCATTAAATAGCTCTTTTGTTTTTTACGTGCAGTCATGTTTAGCTGTTTGGAATATTTTAGTAATTGTTACTCATATCTGTAGAAGTGGGTGGAACACTTAGTAACATGAATCTTTTTGCTTGGTTTGTTGCTGACTGAGAAGAGGACATAGGGGTAGCACATGTTTATAATCAAAAAGTGCATAATTATTGAGACCATCAGTTTGAACCACATCCTGCAGCATCTGCAAATATAGATTATGGGAAATTCAGCTTTAATACTTAGTAGTGCCCTTGGCTGATGTCTTACAGAATCATAGAATGGTTTGGGTTGGAGAAGACCTTTAAAGATAGAATTATAGAATGGTTTGGATTGGAGGGGATTCTTTAGGGACAATTTGGCAAGACAATGCCAATATCAGGGGGGTGGAGTACCTCTGCTATGAAATCAGGCTGAGAGACTTGGGGTGGTTCAGCCTGGAAAAGAACACTCCAGAGAGGCCATATAGCAGCCTTCCAGTACCTAAAGAGGGCTGACAGGAAATCTGGAGAGGGACTTTTCACAAGGGCTTGTAGGGATATGACAAGGGGGAATGGCTTTAAACTGTAAGAGGGCAGATTTAGATTAGATATAAGGAAGAAGTTCTTCCCTGTGAGGGTGCTGAGGCGCTGGCACAGGGTGCCCAGAGAAGCTGTGGCTGCCCCATTCCTGGCAGTGTTCAAGGCCAGGTTGGACACAGGGGCTTGGAGCAACCTGCTCTAGTGGAAGGTGTCCCTGCCCGTGGCAGGGGGTTGGAATTAGGAGAACTTTGAAGTCCCTTCCAACCCAAACTATTCTATGATTCTGTGGTGCTATATATGGGTTATTTTCCAACATATGTGAAGAGGCAAGATGCACAATTTAGGCTGCCAGCCCATGCAGGCATTCTTTTTAAATGTTTTTATTCTGTGCCTGAGCCTCACAGCTACTTTTATTGTATTTCTTAGTGAGTTGTATTTTATATAAGGGTAGATGTGAACTTTTTTCCTTTCTTTCGTCTTCACCTTGGATATGGCACTTTTTTCTGATAAATAATAGTAACTTTTTCCCTCTACTCCAAGGACAGGGTTTTCTGGTACTGCACAGATCTGAAAAAAAACCTGTGAAGATTAAAGTGATCTGAAGTCACTTGATATTTTTGGAACCATAAAGAGTATTTTAGACCAATTTAGGCAGAAAGAAGTTAAATGTAATGGAGTTTTATATCGTTATAAAGAAACTGTCCACTATGTTTTCTGAGCAGTATGCATTTTCTGAACGTTTTTATGTATAATTAGATGATATACAGGGTGCAATACCCCTAGGATGGAAAGAGATTAATGAGAATAGAAATACTTCCTTCTTAAAATGTAGCTTGTGCCTTTTACCAGTCTGTGTAGAGATGGAGTTCTTTCAGTGATGCAAGAGAGCAGCTTGTCTGTCTGGCACAGAATTTAAAACCATCCTAAAGTAGCTTTTCAAGAAAATAGACAGTATCATAAAAAAAAAAAATCTCAATTCCCAAAATATTTGTCTTGTTACGGCAGCTGTAGTTGTGTATGGTAAGACAGACATTGCTGCATCAGAATGAACTCTCTTCTATATTCTTTGTCCAATTTCTTTTTCTTAGTAACATACCCTGCCAATCCACCAATTTGGCACAATTTGCACCTTGGTAATCCTTTGTGTTGCTATAAACCCTGTGGAATATTATGACATGGCACAGTAACTTAATGGTGTTCTGTACGTAGCAGTTTGGAAGAGAAGAGCGTAGACAGCAAAAGCAGATTTGCTTATGGGTGATTTCTAGCTGTACAAGTTAACAAATTTTACAATTTTAACAAAAAAAAATTTCCTGAGATGTGCTTTTCCCAGTGTGAAAAATCTTTTTAGGAACACTTTGTGAATATATGGAATTCTGGAGGGTATTGACATTGGTCTTTAAAATGTCCAGTATTTAGTGCCATTATCAAACGTGTACAGATTTCATTTGATGTGAATTTTGAATTTTCCCAAATAACTGCTGGCTGTTTAACATGTTCTTCTTTAAGTTTATTCATTTATGAGTGCACGGTATTTTTTTTTGGTCCATATTTTTGTTACTTGTCCATATTTTTGTTACTTGGCCTATCTTCTGCCATTTCATATATTCAAGTGAATATATTCATATTAGAACTTACTATGTTATCTCTTTGCTTGCTGGAAGGAAAAATGTATATTTATATGTATAGCCTAAGTGCCATTAGCAAGCGTATTTTTTTTAATGAAGAGTTTAAAACTTACATGAACGTCTGTGAATGTTTTCAACAGGTTGTATCAGTCTGTAAAAATTCTGTACTCCTTTGGGATTTTTGTGACCTATTCGATTCAGTACTACGTCCCCGCAGAGATTCTCATTCCAGCTGTCGCCTCCAAAGTGGATCAGAAGAGGCAGTTACTCACTGAGCTCGTGGTGAGAGCACTGTTAGTCTGCTCAACCTGTAAGTATGAGCAGAACATCCATAAAATGTTTGCTATGACATGTTGCTGGGGCCTGCTTATTTAAATGAATACATGTTCGGTTATTTATTTTATAGAATCATAGAATGGTTTGGGTTGGAAGGGACCTTAAGATCATCTAGTTGCAACCCCCTGTCATCCTTGTACATCTTCCTAATCCTTAGGCTTACTCCCCTGCCCTTACCCCAGTCAACACTAGATAAGTAAGAGCCCAAACTCAAGAAGATCTTCTGCTGTCCTACTGCTGGGGCTGAGTCAGCCATTGGGTGCATTCTGCTCTGAAAAGCAGGATCCTTTCTGGTGGGACCTCAGAAAGACGAATGCTCCTGAAACGCAAGCATTCCACCCCACCTGATGTCACAAGATGTTTGCTCTTTGAGAGCAGTGTTCAGTGGTTTGAGAGCAGCACCTACGAGCAGCACAAACCTCATTGCTAACTTAGGATAAAAACAAAACATTTACTTTGGCATGAAAGCCTGAGCTATTCTTTCCTCAAGTTTTCCCAGTAAAAGGAATTTACTTGTATTACAGGACATTTGAAGAGCTTGTATTGGCCAATAACACTGACCCTGAAATTTTGTTTCAATGATTTGGTGTTTTGACTTTAATGAATGACTGAATCTAACCTTGTATTTGTATTTTAGTCTCACTTTCTTTAGGAGGTGTGACCAATTATTTGACAACCATCTCTTTTGCCAATAATACTCTAACGCTGACACTTGAACATAATTTTCTTAAAATAAAAGGTTTGAAGTAATAGAGACACATTTCTGTTTCATGTCAACATTTCTCTATGTGATCTGCAGTACGTGCTGCTCGTGGAGAAATCCTATTTCTGCTTTGTTGGTCTCAGGATTAAGCCTAAGGCATGCTGCTCTGTACCCATAAAATAGCACTGGCAAACATGGATGCCTGGTCACAGTGTTCATGGAAGGCCACTTGTTTTAGGTGCTAATGCTCCAAAATAGTTTTGTATTTCTGCCTTTACTGCCCGTTACTCCTCTTGTTTTTCTCATTTGTGCCCTACTCTTCCCATCACTCCTACTGTGTCCCAGCCTTTCTCAGTTGGTCTAGATGTCATAATACTAGTAGGAATCAGTAGTGTGCATTGAACAGTGAGCATAGTCTCATGTAGGAATTGATATTTCTGAAGATAATGAACTGAGGAGGAAGCTTAGGTTTGTCTTTACAGCTATCATCTGAAGTGGTGAATAACATAGGAATCCTAGTTGTCATTTCAGACTTGATTTAAATAATGTTTTGCTTTAACTGAGTGCAGAACATGGTTCGTAAGTGATTCAGAAAGTGTTTCTTTAATAGAAAGAAAAAACCCAAAATCTTTTAAATTGAGATTTAAAAAAGGAATGGTTTTGGTATCAGTGACAAAATCTGTTGTAATGTCTGGACCATTCAGGGGTCATACACTGATTAAAGGGACACAGCTTGCTTGAAAATAATTCTCTGAAAAGAGAAACTTCAGCTGTGTTGCTAATAACGCATTAGCTTTTTGAGAGAAGACTTGAAAAATCAGTTATTGCTAATTTTGGGGGCTTTTGTATTACTCAAAGCTGAGTAGTGGATTACAGTCATAGAATAGTTAGGGTTGGAAAGGACCTTAAGATCATCTAGTTCCAAACCCTGCCATGAGCAGGAACACCACACACTAAACTGTCGCCCAAGGCTCTGTCCAACCTGGCCTTGAACACCACCAGGGTTGGAGCATTCACAACTTCCTTGGGCAACCTATTGCAGTGCCTCACCACCCTCGCTGTGAAGAACTTCTTCCTTATATCTAACCTAAAGTTCCCCTGTTTAAGTTTAAACCCATTACCCTTTGTCCTACCATTGCAGTCCCTAATGAAGAGTCCCTCCCCAACATCCTCCAAGTATTGGAAACTTTGCTGTGAAAAAGCACACCCTGGAATGTTATTTTGTTTGTAATTGTTTTTCTGGGGGGATATTTGGTCTGTAAGGACTTGACAAATGACTGCAGATACAATGTGTGTCTGAATAACAATATGTCTTGTTTAAGGCTTTTTATAATTCACCTGCTCACTTTTGGGCACTTAGTATTGCGGGAGGATGATCACAAGGTCAGTCTTGGCTCACTGAGCCATTCCCAAGGAGGCAATTTCCAAGAGAATCCAATTCAGTTTCAGGAGTGCACAGAATCAGAATCAGTTTATTCCAGAATAAATCCAGTTCTCTCGTAGCATGGTCTCATGCCATGATCATGAGAGTGCCACGAGTCATCACAAGACTCGTTTCCTCTTCCCTGGCGCCCAGTACTGGTGGTCTTCCTCTAGATTAGCAGAATTCCTGTTGTCACACTTCTTCCTTTGTAACCTTTGCTAGATCCCTCTGTCTTTGCTGGGTTAGGATCAGATGCTACTTTTTTGTTCTTCTGTCCAGTTCAGCACTATTTCAGTGAAGTACCGTTTTTCACTCTACCGGCTCCTGCCCATGGTCTTGCTAATTGTATCCTTCTTGCCCTTTCAGCTCTCTATCTCCATTTTTGCTATGTGTTGGAAAAGCCACTCAATCTCTTGTTCTGTGTTTATCTACTGTTTGTCCAGTATCCAGAAACCTTTTGATTTTTACCTTTTCTGCATTATTTTATTTTTTCATCTTTATTTGTATGCCTTCCCCTTGATTTTATGCTTTGTTTTTATTGTCTGACACAATCATCTACAATACCAGACAAGGAGCCACAAGATTTTTAGTAAAAATGCATGGAATGAGCCTTTATTATTATGTGACAAATAATCAATTTGACACACTATTTTCCAGATCTGAAGCCTAAGTGGCATGGCTAAGAGAGCTGCAATTATGTGGTTTATGTTTCTTTTAATTACCCCTATTTGCTAGCTACAGACTGTATTTCTTATTGGAATGTGGAAGCAAAATGATTGCAAATACTTGCTGCAAAGTGCACCACTGAGAATATGGTAAGAGCTTAATTTTAAGAACCGGTGCTTAGACGTATAGACTAGGCTAAAAGAATTTACTGTTCAGTTCAATGTAAAAGGATATATTCTAAAAGTATGTGGAGCTTGATTTAAAATTTTGGTCTGGTTTCAAGGTTGCCATCAAGAAATTATGTATTTTGTGGAAATGTCCAGTAGAGTCAATATGCAGCTCAGAGACCTGCATGAGTTTTGGTTGCAGGAGCACCTATGCTAGATTGGTCACTCTTGGGAAAAGAGGGTAATAATTTTGGATATCATTGTTTAATTTAAAGTTCTCCCTGTACATTGAAGTAATTTTTAATTTTTTTTAATCAATTCAATCCAAAATAACATTTAATAATCTAGAAAGGAATCGTGAGGCAGCTAGCTGAGGCTAAGGAAAAGTTAAAGAATCATAAATGAAAACTAAAATAGTTCATTTTTGTGGCTCTGTGGAGCTCACTATCTTAAATCTTAATTCTTACTCAGCTTTGTAGCAAATAAACTGTGGAGTAGTGATAAATTAACCTGCCTCCTCAGGGTTCAACAGTCTGATGTGGTATAAGAAAAGCTGAATTGCTTGGCAACGTTAACGTTTGTTCAGTAGAAGAAAAGGGACCAGAACCCTTTGTATTTTGGGTTGTGCTCAGCATCTTTTCATGATTCACTGTTTTAGAAATGGCTTCCTTCTTATAGCTCTTTGCTAGAAGGAGTTGCCATCCCATGCAACTCCATTTTTGTCCGCTTCAAAGTGGAGAAAAGGCTTGAAGTGTCAGGCATATCCATGTTGAGTATAAAGAGCAATCTAGTGTTTCATTACCCTTGCTGTTTTGTTTGTGTATCTCAAAGTTTTTTCCTTTTTTGGTGTTGCAGTTACAAAGTTTCAACTTTTAGCTACTATGATTGCTTTAGCTTTTGTCTGCTAGGCTTAAGGATCCTTTCTTACCACATTATTTTTCCACTTGTTAATGCAAGCAGGCTGTAATTACTTTACAGTTGGTGTACTTTTTGTTAAACTAAATAGACTGAGTGTGGGAGACATTTTCTGATACTTGTTTAAGATAATCTTTTTTTTATGCAGAGTATAAAAGAATACTAACACACATATAGTCCCTTTCATGTCTGCCAAAACTGAAATGATTTTTAGTACAAAGCAATAACCTCCCTTTCTTTACATACATTCTTTCATATTTATGACCATAAACATGCTTTTGGTTGTACTATCAGCCTCATGTTCACCTGGGTAGCTGCCACGCTTCCCAAGATGGTATATCAAAGCCTTTTGTTCTAGACGAGGAGGAACACAGAGTTAATGCCTGTCTCCCATAAATGTGGGTGAGAACTGTGCAAATCTCCAGGTTCTCAGCAGAGAATAAACCGTATGCATGTAATTTTCCAATTACATCTCAAATAATACCAGTTGTAAACGCTTCTTAATCACTCAGTGGTGAAACAGCTTTTGTTGAACATCTGTTGGTGACAATTGCTGAAGAGTATCATGTACGATTACGTATTTGTAGGACAAAAACTAATTACTACTGAGTTCAGATGTGTTATTACTTGGTGAAAATTTTATCCTATCAGTCAGACTTACTGGTAACGCTAATTTGGTCTGATTGTAGCTCTGCTGTACTGTTGTTCAACATTTATATCAAGTCTGTTTTGTCCTGTTTGATGCTGCCCTGGGACAATGTAAATCAGATATGGCATCTCCACTTCAACTTCTAATACATTTAAAAAACAAAATTCTTTTGTGAAGGCTTGTTGTACAGCTCAGTTGTATGAGATATTGGGGAAGAATAATACTGCTCTGCTTTAGAAAATAGTATTTGTTTATTCTGATTTTGTTCCTTTTGTTTATGACTTATTTAACAGTCCATACTGTGGAATAGGAAGAAAATAATACACTGCTTTTCTGCCTTTCAACTCTAGCTGTCTCCCTTAGCTTTTGATAGATAACACACTGCTTTTTTGCGTGTCTTTCAACTGTAGCTGTCTCCCTTAG